TTTCATGATGGTGTCTTAGATGTACTTTAAAAGAGAATTTCACACTATTCTCTTTGTTGAATGTGACAGTGTGAGAAAGTGATCTTTATTCGTTCAAAAAACTCTGCATGTAGTCTATGTTTAGGTTCTTTTAATGTGTTTGTCTGTGATTTTTAAATGCTAAACATGTAAACAGATAAATTGTCAATGTTAATTCTGTATCCTGTCACACAACTGATCTTTCTTTCCTGCCATTTCTTTCCTTTTTATCTTTTTTTGTGCATTCATGTTGCAGTTGATAAAATTACGTGAAGAGGTGAGTACTTCCTAGCTTGTTTTTTTTGGTTTTTTTATAATTCTGCTTTTCCCTATAAAATTGAGTTTCTAAATCTGAAGTAGGATCTTTGGCTTCATTTTCCCAGGAAAATCTGCACACGATAAAAGTATTGATTATATTGCTAGAAATATTCTCTGCTGATTATGTTTCAAAAACAAATCTATCCAAATCATGCCTGTCACAGTGATCATTGTTTGTTAGCATCAGGGGGGAAATTCATATTTTAAAAGCCCCAAATAGAGGAAAAACAAAGGAATATCTTAAAGCTATACTCCGGTACAGTTTTAATGTAGATTAACTTCAGACTTGTTTTACTTGTATTGGCCTCACAAAGAAGTCCATATGATTAATTTTTTCCTGACAGTCTGATTTACTGTACTGAAAACTGTTTTTAAATAAATTTCTTTCCCTCACCCAACATTCAACCTAAGGTACCATGAATCTGTTATCCTTTTGGGGAAACGCATATATGTTATAAACGCCCTGCTAGTCTGTGTACACAGATACCTAAGAATAGCCAAAGCTCTCGTCATTGTTAAGCACTTTCCTTTCTGTAGGAAATAGCACCCAAGTGAGTTCTCACTTTTCTGAGTTTGCTAGCCTGTTTCACAGTGCAGCCTCGGACTTTTTTGTGGCCCAGCAAATATTAATACAGTGTTTATAATTTTATCCCCATGTCAATGGGGAATGCTGAATGATTCTGGGTGTTTTTTTAATTAAGCCAAACTCATCAAATATGCTTTGGTGCTCTTTTCAGAGATGAGTAGTCTTTATTCTTTGTGAGGTTGAGTTTTGTTACTTTTATATTAGGGAATAAAATAATGGCCCTTATTGCAATCTAAAAATTGTCCAATTGCTTATAATCATCAGAAAGCTGTGAATTATTTCTGAGGCGTCATTGACCGCAGTGATTGAGATTTTCCCAGTTCTTTTTATTGGTGTACATCATTCTCTAGGTGATGCGAATGCCAGTTTAGAGGCTTATGGATAGTGGTTTTCAACAATGCTTGCAATTGAAGACACAGGAGTGATGCCTTCTCTTAGTAAAAGTAATGATATATAAAATGAAGGGTGAAAATACACAAACTGCACCCTCTAACCTTTTTGTGTGTGTTTTTTTACTTCTCTGCATGGAAGCAGATGTACCCACTAAATGAATATAATCAATTGCAGTTCTGACATATAAGATTATTCCTGAGTGGGGTGAGACATCCAGGTTATTTTTTTTTTTTTTGCAAGACAGAATATCTGCTGTTTATATTTGCATATGTTCATGCTTAGGTGGAGAATCTGAATACTCAAATGTTATTGGAACTAACAATAGACTTGAAACCTCTGTATGAAGAAATTCGCTACATGAAGCTCTGGCCCCTGAACTTAGCAATGAATATAATTAATAAAAGTTTTTGCCTTATCACAGTTGGCAGTTTTGACAGAAGACTCGTTGTTGTTATTGTTAAGCTGAATTGTGTGAGTTTAGCAATCTTAATTCTAAAAGCTGCAAACATCGCGTCTGCATTTCTTTTAAAAAATTGTGGTGCCTGTAACAAGAGTTTCATCAGTTGTTGCTGAAATGTGTGTTTCCAAAACTGTAACCTGTAATGGAATTGTACTTGGAAGAATTCTCTCTCTCAACTAATGGAATAATATACTCTGAAATGGTCGTTTAACAATCTTTAAATGGATGTAGCATTGATATTTATAGACTGGATCAGGGTGATGACAGTGCACTGGTATATGGTTTGCTCAGAAGGGATTGTTTCCCAGCCAGGATCCTGACAGGAATCCAGCTGCGTGTCCCCACGTTTCCTTCTTGCGCCTGTCCTAGGGAAGCAGGCACTCATCTCCTCGGAAGTAGGGTGTTTTGCTGTGTTTGGAAACAAAGTTTGCCCTGTCCCTCCCTGGCGCTGAGGCTCCTCTCGGGCTCACTTCTGGAAGCAGGGCGCGCTCGGAGGCAGGCGGGCGCGGGGCAGCTGAGCTGCCAGGGCCGTGCCTGCGCTCTTGTCGCCCGGTGTCAGTCCTGCGTCCCCAGCTCCGCACGCTGCACAGCTCCGCACACGAGCCGGGCTCTGTCTGAAGCTCCTGCGCCCTGCGCAGCTTTACTTACCTGCTTTGAAAAGGGCTGAGAAGAGGGTGAGAGGACGAGTTTGGGATGGAATGTGGGGGCAAGTTGAAAGCCTCAGCTGCGACTGTAGTGTATGTCCTTTCATTTCCAGGACCCGGGCAAAGCACAGCTCCCGGAACAATGTAAATAGCACAGCTGCTCCAGGAACTTGTGCTGAGCTTGACTTAGGGGAGGGGACCCAGAATACAAAGTGAGGTCCTGCGGGAGCACGCTCACTCCCAGAAAACCGAGCTGTCCTGTGAAACCGAAGGGGAGTTATTTCTGTTATTTGGGAATATTCTTTTCAAAACACACACACACAAGTTCTTTTAGAAGCGTACCCCCATCATAGACAGCCATACACGGAATAATCTGGTTTGGTTCCCTTTCGCAGAATCCCCGAAATCAGTCCATATTTAAATGCTTTGTCTCCTACATTATATATAATCATCTAATTAGACTGTCAATTTCCAGTATTGATCTTGGACTTTTTAAAAACCTACAGTAGCTAAATGTTTTCTTTTAATTTAGGGATTTCATCCAATATGAAAATGAACTAAAAACCTTTGTTTTGTTCCTCTGGATTAAAGTCCAGATTACTCTTGATTTCACAAATCTGATCTCTTTAGAGAATCGCTGGTTTGAAATGAGGTCCTTTGTTAAGGCAGAAAACAGTATTCAGAGAAGGGAAGAGTAATCCTGTTCCCCCAAACCTGCATGTAGTAAGAATTAGCAGTGAGAAAGCTATTTTGGTAAGCTGAGTAAAATGGTTAATTTTATTTAAAAATACTCACTAATACCAAACACACAGCTCCCCTTGCTTTTCTTTTTCTCAATTACAGCCTTTAGTGATTTTGTGTTTCCATGATATAAGCTTTCCTTCCTTCCTCCCTTTTATTTATTTAGTTTTTAGCTTTTTTTTTTTTTTGCAGAGGGAGGGGCAGTTTTCTCTTAATTTCTCCCCTGTATGTGGGACGACTCTATTAATTATTATAGACTGTTGTTGCAGCTTTTCCCTGACCTTCACATCAGGTCCTCTCTTTCTGTTCAAAATGCATTGTTTTAATGATTCTTACCGCCCCCTCCCCAGCTCTTCCCCCCAAAAAAATTTTCAAGGAAAGCTTTGATGTGGCTTTAGCTGCCTCCAACGTCTGGCCGCATCTCAGATGTGTCACCTGTGCCAGGAGGGAATAAGGAAATCACGTTTTGAATGGTAATGATAACATACTAATCACTTCCTCTCTTTGAAGATGGAAGCGAGATACTCTGTCAGCATCCCTGGCTGCTAGAGCTTGGAGGCACTGGTCTAGGTGTATTAGCTTAAGTGTGCATGTCAATACAGCTTGCATCTCCAGGATCCGTGGGGGCTCATTAGAGCAAGGTAGATCGTTTCACTCGACAGCCACTCAGATAATACGCAGGGCACCTCCTTTTTTATTGTTATTAGGAAGCATTTCTTCTACTTTAAATGACATCTGTCAACAACACAAAGTTGTAGGAGTTGTGGTTGCAATATTTCTTTTTTACCAAATACCAAAACTGATTTGAGGGGTCAAGCTACTAATTGATACAAATACATGTATGATGTACACACAAATATACTCATATTTACATGTTTCTAAGAATCCAGACACACATGCATCTGTATACACACATGCATGCACACACACATTCACGTATGCATGCACATACTCTCATTCACAGGCACGATCACCTTTCAAATCCATTTGTCAACCTGAATAGGGCTAGTGTAGAGTCATGTTTTTTTAAAACAAAAAACCAAAAACAACCTCAATGTAGAAAAGAAAGTTTAGAAGCTGAGAATGTGGGGAAGATCCTCTAATTGCCCAATTCAATATAATATAAAAGAGTGCATATAATTATTATATTAGTTCACAGTCTGAAACACTGTGTCAAAAGTTTACCTTCAGTGTAGCATATAAATTCTCAATTTTGCACATCTGTGTGCAATGGAGAAATATGTATCTCTTGTTTCTTGACGTCGCCCCGATTGTCTTAAGCTAGAACTCTGTTTAGTATTCTGTTTTAGTAGCATATGTTGTTCTGTGTGGCATCTTGCCACACATCCAAAATAGAGGGACATCCTCTTAAGAATATAGTTCCTGTTTAAAAATTACTATCTGCAGAAATTAAAGGAGCAAATGAGTGTTTTACATGATTGTATTTTATACAAAATAAATATAACATAAGGGTCATAGATCTATGCAAATATCTCATACATCTACCACTGCTGAAACAGGAAAGATCCAGCTGACTCTGGTCTCAGTACATTTTTCAGCGTTTTGGAGTGAGATTCATTGTAGCCACACACAACACGAGCCTGCCTTTCACTACAAAAAAGTGGACGGTCCATACACGATAGATTGATTGGAAATCTGTCCATTGTAGTGCTTCTTATAATGGGAGACTTGCTAAAAATGATCTCTAATGGGTTTTGACTGACCACCCCCCCCCCCAAAAAAATGTTAGGGCATACAAAAGCATTATTTTTTTTAAAGGCAAAAAAAAAAAAAGAACATTGTAGACGGCCATCTGATTTTTCCCCTTTTTCTTTTTCAGAGGGCACATCTGCTCGATAACACAGAGAGGCTGGAAAGGTCATCTCGGAGACTAGAGGCTGGGTACCAAATAGCGGTGGAAACCGGTAAGAATTCTGAGAGTGAGCAAATTGTCTTGCTTATGCACAGCAGTCTTCACAACACATGACATTTCAGGGTAACTTCAAAGGAGCAGCAGAGACAGCAGCCCGAGATGTGGTTTACATATTGGGGAGACAATTGGGAGCTTATTTGTGCTTATCTTTTTTCAAGTTAAAAGGCATGACATCTACTGAAAACAGTTCCTGAGGTTTAAAAGTATATATCTGAAAAGAGATGGAATACTTTGTCTAAATTCTACATTTGTCTTAATATGCAGTTACATGTTGTCAGTTTACCCACCCGCAATGATTGCTAGCGCACGGTGCGGTCTCCAGTTGTTTGCTCCCTTACGTTTAGCCACAGATGTAAAAATTAACGTTTTAATCAGCCTAAATGATGTCACCTAGGGGCAAAGAAGTAACCATCCCTAGTTTACCTTGCTTATTTATCCTGGTGTTGGAAATGATTTCTAATAATCCTGTGTGGGGTATTTTTAAATCATGAACAGAGCCTGTAATCAGATATTGAGAGAAAAGAAAAGGTCACAGTAAGCAGCAAGGCTAATGTTCATGATGATACTTTTGGTTTGAATTAACACTAGTTATCCTTTTCAGAAAACACAGCCCTAATTTAACTCCCAAGGTTCACCTACTTAAAATAGACAAGCTTTCTCATCATAAATGTTTCATGCAATGACTATTTATTTTTACATAGTAAATAAATGTCCATTAACCCCTTCGTAGTCATTAGTTTCTTATTAGCTTTCTTTTTTGCTTCATTTTGCAAGTATAATTACGTGCAATCTGTTTAACATATTCTAGATAGTTCTTGCCCAGTATATAAATCACAAAAATATATGGTTAATATTTCCATCATTTTTTAAAACTTATGTGACAAAAGTGTTTATTTTATAAAGCAGGTATGGTAAAAATGATTCCAAATAATTTCTTTTGTGAATGGCCAGTGTTTTTTTCCTGCCCTGGGTTCATGGCCATTCTGTATTGGCTGCCTTAGGGGAGTAATTCTAAGAAACTGAAGAGAGAGGACACAGGTGGCACTGGTGTTATAGTAATGGTGAGAAAACTAAAGAAAGCCATAAGCCCTCCAGATTGTTTAGTGGTACAGGCAGCCCTTCTCTCTGAGATTATTGATAGATTGGCTTTCAGCCCTGATTAAAGTAAAAGCCAGCTTTCGTCTGTTCTTTTTGGCCTTGGGCTCACCTTTAAAAGTGACTGACCTCGTGAAGTGTGTGAAGAAAGCGAAGAGCCCTGAACACGAGGTGAAAGGACCAGGCTCAGGTTCTGGCTCTTTCTGTGTGACCTTGAGCCAATCACATAACCTCTCTGAGTCTCAGTGTCTTTTTCAATAAAATGGAAATAATATTGCCTGTCTCGGCATATCCCTAAGAAATGATGGCATGTATGAAAATGTTTTATACACTATAAAACACTATACAATTATAAATATTATTGTTAATGGGTTTGTCATTTGATGATAGACGAGCATTTATCATTATCTCATAGGAAATATTTTAATTGTGATTAAATTTGTACAGATTAAATGAATTTTAAAAAGTGTTGCTTTGATATCCTTGGGGAATGGAACGCTATACCTATTGAACATGTTTATCATCAAGGAACCTTCTTTGATAAAACAACCCATTGACGAGCCTCTTCCACATGGGACTGGGTTGGGCTGAGGATGTTCTTACTGTGACGCTGATCACAGGACTTGGTTTCCTGATTGGGCTGCCTTTTCTCTTTCACTACATCATTCATGTCATTCCCTCCTGAAGCTGAAGGAAGTCTTCAAAGAAACTCACAGATCCTGGAGGGCCACCTATTGATCAAGGCTATGAGATTGAGTAGGATTTGATAGTTACTCGTTTTGCATGTGCTAAAATATGACATCCACATCAGCCTATCAATACAGTCAATGTGGAAAATGTCCATTTAAGAGTGGCCCCAAACCCAACCTCAGTCTTCTTGGACTTTTTAATAGTAGATTAACTACCATTAACTACTAATGGTAGATTAGCTATAAAGCTTTATAAAATTGGTTAGTTGTTTGTCATATAAGGCTTGGGAACTTCTTACAGACTATAAAACCAAGTCTGGGCTTTGCGGAGGTACAGACAGATGTGACACACACAGCCTCCGCCTAGACGAGAGTCATCCCGCTAATTCCTGGGATGAATTTGAAAGTGGGCTGAGACATGAGAAAGCAGGCACAAAGCATTTTTATTTTGCCCTTGCTTCTTACTAAAGTAGTGTGTGTGGGGGAGGGGCAGGAATTGTGGTGGACACCGTGTGCTTGTACATTTCATGCTTCCCTTCTGGCCCTCAGCCTGGTCGTTCCTGTATCGTCAGTCAACAGCCCTGCGTTTGGGCTATGATATAAATTTGCAATACTAACCATTTTGTTATAGTAGCTATAGAAGAATAGCACCTTTCAAAAGGAAAAACATTTAGTACTTATTGGTCTCTTTTTCTTAAAGACAGTGAAATGCAAGGAGAAGCAGCCGTGGAAGAGTTAGGTTAGTATGACTGTTAAACAGCGCAAAAGAGAGAAATGGATTTGAAGTTTTGGTCTGAGCTAGTTCTAGACTGCAGCAGGTGTGCACCAGTCCGCAGCAAAGTGAGATTTTCTTAAAGAGGTAGAAAGCATTGACCTTTTCATAAAGCAAATGTTATTAATTTAAAGGACTACCTTTTGTAAGACTATATTTTTCCTATTTTGGGGTGATAAAAGAAAGGAGAGTTTTGTGATAAGATAGAAATAGCAGATAGAAGTTATATACATGTATGTGTGTGTGTGTGTGTGTGTGTGTGTGTGTGTATATATATATATATATATACATAAAATTCTCTATCTGGATAAACAACAAAACTGGCAACCCTAAGTTGGGTCCCTTGAAATGATTTTTGAAATTTTATTTGTCCACAAAATCTAGGAAGTATTTAAGAAAGACAGAACAGTCCCATTATCGGACCTTGCCACTTAATCAGCTGTGTGACTTTGAGAAATCACTCAACCTGTCTGAACGTGTTCTTTTATTTGCAAAATTTAATCCTCACAGTAGATTCTATGAATCCCATAGGGTTGTTATAAAGTACAATGAGGTCATATATATTCAAGTGCTTAGAAAGTAGAGGGCTCTGTAAAAGTCACCATTTTTATGCATTACCATCAGCCAAAGTGATTGTCTTTCCAAGTTACTGACAAAAGATTTAAACAAAATTCTTCTATTTATGAACTTGATGGCAGTTATTGGCAAATATCATAAAAGAAAGTTTATTATATAAAGTTAATTATGTGTAGAATAGAATAGAAAGCATATTACTTTCACCACTAGTACCTTCCTAGCAAATAATGAAATTCACCGTCTAAAATTGTCAAGTCATTTCTGACATCTTTGAAAGTTTTTTTGTCATGTTATCAATTATTGTCTCTTTAAGAGCAGCTACTCAGGAGAGGGACACACGTCTAGAACACACTTGGTCTGAGAGAAAGTACATGATCCTCTCCAAGTGCCATTACACCTGGTTGTATATTGAGTTTAGTACCAATCACATTTCTTCCCGGATACCTTCCTATTTGAGAAAACTGATATAGTTACAAGTTAATTGAATAGCTCCTTTTAGAAAAGAAGGGACACATGGAAGAATATGTGACAAACTGAAGAGCTGTTGCTAGGACATCTCAAAGTCTGACATCAATTGGGACCATTATCAGACTCATGAACAAAACTTTCTTAGGTTTGACCATTAGAGACCACATACTATGCTGATTGTAAGAGTCATTGGCTTGGTCCAGTCTGGTATTTCTCATAAGTTCTTGTCCTAGAATCTGTGACTGAAAGGCAACTCTTCTTTTTATTGGTTATTGCTAATACGTATGACTCGACTGTGTAGAGATATCTGTTTTGTTTAAGGTCAGGGACATGATATGTAAAACTCTGGGTCATCTGCCTTTTATTCTGTATTATGATTATTTTTCTCTAAAGTAAAAATCCCAGACTGAGAGTAGGCACAAAGTTAATGGAAGTTGTATGATTAACAAAAGAAATAGGCTGAAAGAGAAATTACACAAGGACAGAACTGTGAGACTTACTCTTTCCTTGCAATATGGAAATAGGTAGTTTCAAACACTCATGACTTATTCTACCCTTACTCCAAATGGGCCTAGTGCACCTGGCGGTACATCTCTGGAACCATGAGAGTGTTTGTCTGCAGTTAGTAGCCTCGTGAATCTTTATAGTGATTTGCATCACGTACTAACCTCGCTCCTACCATCCCTGAGTACCCAAGCCTATGAGTCCACACCCCTTCTCTCAATACTCACCTCAGGCCACCCAGCTCTGATGTTCCACTTGGCCATTGATCTCTACAACAGGGTGCTTTACTTCTGCCAGCCTTCCTGCCGTGAAGGAGAGGTGATTGGGCTTATGTAGAAATAATACAGTGTTTATTGAACACTTACTATGGGCCACACACTGTTCTCAGTACTCGACATTCATTATCTCTGTAATCCTCACCACAAACCTATGCAGTAATTACCCCCTTCTTATTTTATGGATGAGAAAACAAGGTAGAGAGAGATTAATTTGCCCACACTTATAATCAAGCTAGGAAATAGTACAGCCAGGCCATCTGATTCCACGCTCTCAACCAGTAGACCACACTGAAAAATGAATGGGTCCCACACACCCAGGTTTCCCAAAGTGATCTGTTGTAGTCGAAATATGTCATGTTCTTACAACTATTAATTTCCTTTTCATGTAATTTATTTTAAAACTAACCAGTGAATACTGGATATACTAGTAAACAAGACAGCCAGGGTCCCTGTTCTCAGGCAGTTTATGTATGAGGATCGGGGAGGGGGACAGGATGACACATCTTAAAATATGAATGAATAAGTGGACAAGATTATTTCAGATCGTGGTAAAGTGAAGCACAGTGTTAAAGAGTAAATGGATGAAGGCTACCATAGGTCAGGAAGGGCC